CTCGCTTGAGCCCAGGAGTTGGAGGTTGCTGTGAGCTGTAATGCCACGGCACTCTGCCCAGGGGGACAGCTTGAGGCTCTGTCTCAAAAAAAAAAAAATAGTGACTGTGGCCAGATGTTATCATTTCAGCAAGCAGAATAAAAAGATAGGGCTTAGGCCAGGAGAGGTAGCTAATGCCTATAATCCTAGCAGTCTGGGAAGTCAAGGTGGGAGGATCACTCGAGCTCAGACTGATCTCAAACTGCTGAGCTCAGACAATCATCCCACCTCAGCTTCCCAAAGTACTAGAATTATAGGTGTGAGCCACCATGCCTGGCCAGAGCATCTTGGTTCAGAAACCTTGCTTAACAAACTTCCTTGACCAACTGACAGAAAAAGGCAGGAAATAATTGCAAATGGAAAAATGATACAAGTTTAGCAAGTAAGCATTGTTTCCCTCTCTGACCTGGGATCAGACAGAGCCTATTGTATTCAGTACACCCTTGGTTAGGTGAGAGGCCCCCTCCACCCATGACACTAGAACTTTGACTTACGGCAACAGCCAGTCTGAAGCAATGCTAGTGTCTTTCCCCCAGGGGCTGCACATAAATCAAGCACAGTGTCCCCAGGTTGCAGGCCGAGGGCCAGGACAGGTAGTAAGGAAGCAGCATCCATCAGGTAGTAGTCCATGACACCCAGGTTGCCAAGTCTGGAAAACAGAAGATCACCCTATTATCAAATTTCAGGGTAGGACACCCAGTAGGAGTCAAGACCACCAAATTCATGCCCTCAGGGGCCATTGAGCCCCATTCAACAAAAACTAATTTCTCAGATATATAGTCACTCATTCATCTACATAGAAGCCAGATTGTGCCTCTTATTTTATTTATTTATTTAAGACAGTCTCAAGCTATTGCCCTGGGTAGAGTGCTGTGGCATCACAACTCACAGAACTTCAAACTCTTGGGCTTAAGCAATTCTCTTGCCTCAGCCTCCCAAGTAGCTGGGACTACAGGGAACACAACAGGCATGGTGGGAATAGCCCACCACAACACCTGGCTATTTTTTCGTTGTAGTTGTCATTGTTGTTTGGCAGGTCCGGGCTGGATTCAAACCTGCCAGCTCTTGTGTCTATAGCTGGCGTCCTAGCTGCTGAGCTACGGGTACCAAGCCAGATTGCTCCATTTTTTTTTTTTTTTTGAGGCCCTCAGTAGAGTGCTATAACGTCATAGCTCACAACAACCTCAAACTCTTCGGCTTAAGTGATTCTCTTGCCTCAGCCTGGGACTACAGGCCGGGTTCAAACCTGCCAGCCCCGGTGCATGTGGCTGGCGCCCTTGCTGCTGAGCTACAGGCGCTGAGCCCCAGATTGCTCCTTTTAAAACATAGATCAATTGACTCCAATCTAGCCATGCTGGCCACATGCTCAGGCTTTTTCAGTTGCTATACCTCTGCCTGCAACATTCTTCCTTCAAATATCCCTGATTTGCTTCCTCACTTCTTTCAGTCTCTCCTCAAGTCACTTCATGAGAGGTATTGCATTGCCTGACTATCTAAAATAACAGCC